CCTTCTTGTGCTTCAGACTCTTCTGACTTCCCCTTCTGCCACCTGTGAGAGAAGACTCTGCTACTAAAGGGCTCATATGGTTAGATTGTATCTACCTGGATAATCTCCTGCCTGATTAACTCAAAGCCAACTGATTAATTACCTTAATTATATCTAAAACATCTCTTTTTCCATGTAATGTAGCATAATCATTGGCATGATATCTCATCATAGTCACAGTCCCAAGAATTAGGGCAAGAAATCTTGGAGGATCATTTTAAAATTAGACCTATCACAAGTGTACTAAATAAATATTAGAGCTACTATTTCCCTATAATGAACACACTAAGAGAGTTTTTAATGTTTTGACAAAAAAATTTTAAAGGCTGTGGAACAATCTCAAAATTCCCCATTGATTATTAAACTCGTTTTGCACAGTTTCAGTTTGCACGGTGGTTTTTATGGTCCTGCACTACTGTGCAAAGCGAGGAAACAAGTACTGCCTGTGTTGGATACTGACTTACAGCAGGGTGTTACCCTAGCCCTTCAAGATGCTGCCACTTAGTTGGCACTGTAACTGAATTCTCAAAAGGCTTTCCCTACTGTCTTAGTCATCTAGTGCTACTATAACAGAAATACCACAAGTGGATAGCTTCAACAAAGAGAAATTTATTCTCTCACAGTCTAGTAGGTTTCAAGTCCAAATTCAGGGCATCAGCTCCAGGGCAAGGCTTTTTCTGTTGGCTTTGGAGGAAGGTCCTTGTCATCAGTCTTCCCTTAGTCTGGGAACATCTCAGTGTACAAACCTCAGGTCCAAAGAAGCGCTCTGCTCTTGGCACTGCTATCTTGGTGGTATGAAGTCACCAATTCTCTGCTTGCTTCGCTTTCCTTTTATCTCTTGTAAGATAAAAGGTGGTGCAGGCCATACCCTAGGGAAACTCCCTTTACATTGGATCTATGATGTGACCTTAGTAAGGGTGTTACAAGTCCCACCCTAATCCTATTTAACATAAAATCACAATCACAAAATGGAGGACAACCACACACTACTGGGCATCATGGCCCAGCCAATTGATGCACACATTTCCAGGGGGACATAATTCAATCCATGACACCTACACTTTTCTGTCAAGCCAGCTGTCTATGAGAAACATGGTAAGACTAGTAAATTCTATGAATATGGACCCATTGCTGCACTTCACTTGCTGTGAAGTGATGGAGGATAAGGCCACAGAGGGTCGTTTTCACAGACACATTCCCCTAACCGAACATCTACAGGGAAGGGGATTCTGGGAAATGTAGTTTAGCCTGACCAAGTTGACACATCACAAAGCCAAGCATCCCCTTTTCTCTTGTTGACCTAAGTCATGTTACTACCTCTTGTTGCCAGGCTGCCAATTTAATGTGCTGATTATCTTCAGCTAAGCAGAACCCTTAGGAGCCCTGGTGGTGCAGTGGTTAAGAGCTTGGCTGCTAACCAAAAGGTTGGCAGTTCGAATCCACCAGCCACTGCTTGGAAACCCTATGGGGCTATTCTACTCGGTCCTGTAGGGTCACTATGAGTTGGAATCAACTCGACGGCATCGGGTAAGCAGGACCCTCAGGAGGCTGGGGTGGAATCATCAGTCCCTGAAGCAGATGGGCTTTGTGAAAACATTGGCTACCTGAATGAAATTCTGTGTGTTGTTGACAAGATGGGAGAGAGGAACAGATGCTGGGAAGCAGCCAACCGGTGCCCACTGCACTGGGAAAAAATAATGCTTCCTGGCCTGCCTCAACAGCATGGTTGATATAGTGAAATGAGATAATGCTTAAGAAAATGATAATGACTATAAAATCTCGAGCTGTGGATAATTCATTGGTACTGTTGCTACCAGGAAGTATAGTACAGTCCTGGCACACAGGTGGCAGTAAGCAAATAGTTGTTGAATGAATTAACCCATGTATTAATGATTAAAACTCTGTAAATAAAAAGTATTAGGTGAGTAATCATAATTTTCCTTGTTTGGTGTCCAGTCAACAGAGCCCAACGAAGAGAACAGTTCCAGAGAGTTCACTCTTATGGGTTGTACTTATTGTACTTAGCTACTGCGGTTGAGTCGATTCCGACTCATAGCGACCCTGTAGGACAGGGTAGAACTGCCCCATAGGGTTTCCAAGGCTGTAAGTCCTTACGGAAGCACACTGCCACATCTTTCTCCTGTGGAGCGGCTGGTGGATTTGAACTGCTAACCTTTCGGTTAGCAGCTGAGCACTTAACCTCTGTGCTACCAGGGTTCCTTCCCGATTGTCCTGATTGGCTGTGAAATTGCCCATTGGAAATGACTCATGTCTGGTCATGTTGACCTTGGCAAATGGCAGTGTCACTGGCTCAGCCTGATAGGTTGCTGCCTGAGTGTCCCAGGGCTGCCATAACAAATACCGCTGAGTGGGTGGCTTTAAAGGACAGACATTTATTGTCTCATGGTTTTGGAGGCTAGGAGTCCAAATCAGGTCTGTGACTATGTTGATTCCTTCTAGGGGCACTGAGAGAGGAACTGTTCCCTGCCTCTCTCTTAGTTTCTCGTGGCTGCCAGTAATCCCCAACATTCCTTTGCTGCTTATAAATGCATCTGCTTCTGTCATCACATGGTGTCTGTCCTCCCCCTGTGGGCAATTCCTTTTTTTACAATATGCAGAAGGGTTAGGACTCACCCAACTATTAACTGGTAACATCTGCAAAGAAAAACTCATTTCCCTAAACAAGGACACATTCACAGGTATCAAGAGTTAGGACTTCAACATACACAATTCAATCCACAAGAGTTGCTGTCAAGCATTTCCATGCCTGAGTCATTGCATACACCAGTCCCTCACCCTCAATAGCTTTCCTGTCTCTGCTCCTGGCAATGCCACCACCCCCTTTCAGACCAGCTCCGTTCTCCGAGGACATCACCCCTCTGAGGACATCCCTTCTCCGTGGCTACTGGGAAGCTCCGCCCCCGCCAAGGACTCCACTCTCTGAGGACTCCTCCGTCTGAGAACTCCACTCACTGAGGATTCCTTCCCTGAGAACTCCACTCTCTGAGGACTCTTCCCTCTGATACTCCCCCCCGCCCCGAGGACTCCACTCTCTGAGGACTCCTCCCTCTGAGGACTCCTCCCTCTGAGGACATCATCCCTCTGAGGACATCCCCCTTCCAAGGACTTCTCCCTGTGAGCACATTCTCCCTCTGAGGACATTTTCCCTCTGAAGACATCTTCCCTCTGAGGACTCCTCCCTCTGAGGACATCCTCCCTCTGAGGATATCTTCCCTCTGAGGATATCTTCCCTCTGAGAGCATCTCCCCTCTGAGGACTCCTCCCTCTGAAACTCTACCCTCCCAGGTGGTGTCCGTGCAGCCTTGGCCAGTGACCCTCCACGCACTGCCTCCTCAGGAGACTATCTTCTGATACCGACTATTATGGATTGAATTGTATCCCCTAAAAATATGTGCTGTAAATCCTAACCTCTATGCCTGTGATTATAATCCTATTTGGGAATGGGTTGTCTTTGTTATGTTAATGAGGCGGGATTAGTGTAGGGTGTGTCTTGAGTCAATCTTTTACAAGATATAAAAGGAATAGATTAAGCGAGCAGAAATGGGGAAAGATAGATGCTAAGCCACGTGGAGGTCTCCAAGGAACCAGGAAACAGAAGTTGAAGAGACAAGGACCTTTCCCAAGAGTTGACAGAGAAAGAAAGTCTTCACCTAGAGCTGGCACCTTGATTTTTGACTTTTAGCCTCCTAAACTGTGAGAAAAAAAAAAAAATTCTGTTAAAGCCACCCTCTTGTGGTATTTGTTATAGCAGCACTAGATAACTAAGACACTGACTCTTTCCTGGATCCCACTCATGGTGGGCTCACCCACGGTGAGGGCTCTGGGGGCAGATCTGGCTACTGGGAAGCTCTGCTGGTGTCTGTGGAATGAGTGAAAGAGCTGGCGTTATGCCTTGTCTAACTGGGGATGGGAACCACGTGGCTGCCATGGGCTGAGTCAGAGATATGATCAGGACAGAATTAAGCTAAGGTCACTGAAAAGTTTTGGCCTAGACTACTGCAGAGCAGCTCTTCTTTCCGAGAAGGTTTGGGAGACTGGTGTTTCTGTGAAATAGAAGAGTGTGAGGACTGAGGTAGCCTAGCACTGGGATCCAGGTGTATAACCCACTAGCTGTGTAATCTAGAACAAGTCACTTTGTTTCCCCATCCATAGGAATAAGTGATGGTGGGCTTGGTGATCTTGGGGCCTCATTTCCTTCCCCTGCTAAGCAGGGGCAGTAGGATCTGACCTCACAGGACTGGGGGTGAAGGGTTCATTACACGTGGACTGCTCAAAACAGTCCTGCCTCGCCACCCCTGCCATCAGTGCTAATTGCTTTTGTCACCTGTGAGGGCCCTGTGAGTGTTGATGCTCATTTTTCTTTCTCATTTCAGGAGTGTGAGTGTAGAAAGGGCTTCTTAACTTCATCTTTGAAATTGCTTGTTGAGTATCTCAATATGTATTCAAAGTAAATAGGTTTAAAATAAAATTCCTAAGAGTAACTCAAGAATTGTATAAAACCTCTGGGAAGAAAATGATAAAATATAATCAAATCATATAAAAGATTACACAAATAAATGGAAATTCTTACCATTTTGAAATGGAATGATTAAACATTATAAAAATGTCAGGTTTCCCCAGGTTAATCTATTCAGTCAATTGCAATACCAGTCAAACTCACAGTGTGGGGGAAACAGCTGTTCTTTTTCATTTAAACAGCTCAGGGTTTGTTTGTTTTCGTTTTTGTTTCTTTTTTGTTTGTTTGTTTTTTGGCAAGTTTTTCACCTGGGAGAAGAAATGTATGAACACAGCCAAGAAATGATTGTAGAAGATGAATAAAGAGGGTGAGAAGTAGCAGCATTCAGAATACTCCGGACACCTCCTTAATGTGTGAATTACTTACTTTGTATGTGAATCAACTTTGTAATAAAGTGATACTTTTAAAATATTTTATTGGTCAGTGTTTTCCAGGGTGCCTGACGATTCAGATCCGTACCACTTTGTGTATTTTCATCGTGGTCTTAATCTATTCAGTGGCCCAAGGATGTATGGTATGTGTTTTTAACTGGCAAAAAGAACTGGAGTTGGGTGATGGGTTGAGAAATGTCCCAGGGTGAGGGAAGACCTACACACATGCGGAGGTGCCCCCTGGAGCACCCAGCCTAGGGTGGGTGGAGCCTTAGGGGGCAAAGGAAAGGAGCCAGCAGATGCCAGAGACCAGCCTAGTAGGGGAGAGGACACTGCCCCCTCAGGTGTGTGGAGAACTGAAGCTGGGCGTATCAGTGGCAAGATGGAGCTGAGGGGGTGGGGTTGGGATGATAGGCCTGGTACCGTAGAGTTGAAACCCGAGTGGCTTCCGTCTTAGGCTCAGGGGTCAGAAGGGCTGATGGTGCCAGTAAGGGTCAGAGCGGGGAGCCAGGAGGACACGGTACAGGAGATGGCCGCAGTGCGTTAGTGGGTCCCGCGGCTGTGCCTCTCCCACAGCGCCCCCCATTCCTCTTCCCCGCAGGTGGGCTGCATGCGCTGGGCCTGGCGCATGAGCCCCAACAGCTCCCTGATGGTCCTCTTTCCCGGAGGCCGCAGTGCCGCACTGCCCGCCTCGCCCTGCACGTCAGCGCCGCACGCCCTGCTCTGCTGCCTCGTGGGCACCCTCACACTAGCCACCTTCCTGCGCATCCCCTCCTGGCCCAAGACGCTCCTCCTGCTAGTGCTCACCTTGCTGTCCGTCCTTGTGCTGGGGCTCAGCGGGCCCCCTGCAGTAGCCGGGTGAGTGCCGCCCAGGAGGTGCTCAGCCTGGTCACAAAGCCATGTCTTCCATTTTCTGATGAGAAAACTCATAACCTCTCGTGAGGTTTCTTTTTTTTTTTTTTCAGTTTAATGGTTTCTCCACTTCTCCCTTCAGCCCCATATTCCATCTGGGCCTGGACTTCAGCTGAGGGGTGGCTCTCCCCCGGGATGGTCCTCTGCCCCTTGTGGGTCCAGGTTATGGTCTGGGAGCCCCCTGACACTTGCTGTCCTGTGGTGCCGAGCTCACCCTGAGGTCTGAGGGCCCCCTGAGAGCCACTGTCCTGTGGTGCCGAGCTCACCCTGAGGTCTGCAGGCCCCCTGAGAGCCGCCGTCCTGTGGTGCCGAGCTCGCCCTGAGGTCTGGGGGCCCCCTGAGAGCTGCTGTCCTGTGGTCCCGAGCTCACCCTGAGGTCTGTGGACCCCTGAGAGCCACTGTCCTATGGTGCCGAGCTCAGACGAGCCTGATTTCTCTTCTTTCCCAGAGGTCGCGCTGTCTCCTTGCACAGCTACGAACCCATCCTGGCCGTCCTGCTCTTCTTCTGCGCTCTGGGCCTGCACTGCAGGCAGGTGGACCTGAAGCTGCGGCTGGACTACCTCTGGGCTGTGCAGGCAAGACACGCCCTTGTGGCTCTGGTGTGGGTGGTCGTGGTGAAGGTGGGTTCGCCCTGAGCATCAGGGCAGGGCTGTGAGCTGAGCTAGCCACTGTGTGGGGGCAGCAGAGGCTCCTTACCTAGTGGAGAGAGCCCAGCACCACCAGGGTCAGGGTAGACCTGTGACAGGGGCCGCAGGTTTGGGACAGCGTCTGGGGAGACGGGGTAGGAAGGCTGCAGAGTGGCTGGATGAAAACTGTCTGGTGGCTTGAGGTGAGCCGGCATGCCAGGTGGTGTGTCGTGCTGCAGAGCAGGGGGCTCCCCATCTGCTTGGGAATGACGGTGGCAGGGGGTCCATCAGGTTCATCAAGACACGTGTGAAGATGCAGATTCTTGCACCATCCCCTCAGGTTCAGTAGGTTTGCAAGGGGCCAGGAATCTGTGTTTTAGCAAACACCCTGGGCAGTTCTGAGGGCCCCGCTTTGAGAGAAACCCTGGATGGCAGGACCTGTAAGCCGTCCGGAACCCTGGGCACTTGGGTGGCAGGTGCAGTGTCACAGCCTCTGCAAATCTGTGGGTAGCTCCCTGTTGGGCGCAAGGCAGGGTGATGACTGCCAGGGATTGTGAGGATAGGCTCTCCACCCAGACTCCACGTTCAGGGCTTACGTGTAGTCCCTCTTCACAAATGAGGCCCTGGGCAGGTGTGGAGTCTGAGAGTACATCTCTGCACCAACGGTGTGCACCTGCCCCAGTACTCCAGGGCCTCGGGGCAGGGGGCGCAGCCACGGAGGCTCCTAGTTCAATTCTCATCTGCTTCACCTCCAAACTTGTTGGCCTCAGGCAAATTGTCATCTAAAAATGGCAAGGGACAAGAGAATGAAGACTGATAGACATTAGCTCTTGTAAGAGATTCTTCTTATTTTGACATTGTAAGAAGTAGCTTGTCACTGTTGTAGATATTTTTTTTCATGTAGTCCTCATGGCAGCATTACCTGGAAGGTGTATTACAGGTGAGGGGACTGGGCACCTGCCCAGGGTTATGTGGCTGAGCCAGGCTCCAACCGCAGTCTGTCCAACATCCAAGAGTGTTTTAGGTCAGCTGGTGGCATCCTCGTACCAGTGCTGCCCCTGAACCCGGACTTGAAGTGGGGCCCAGCCTGTAGTTGGGGTACGTGGAAAGTCAGTGTGTCAGATGCTAGACGGAGGACCCCTGGGAAAAGCCAGTGACGGGGTCCGCCTGTGAGCTTACTGCAGTGACAGGAGCTCTGTGTGCTCACGGGGGTGTAGGAAACCACCCCTTGGTTGCCCTGTGGTCTCTTCTGGCAGCGAGACCAGGCTTAGGCTACCCCTGATGGAAGAGGCAGGGCTCCGGTGTTCAGCCCATTGTGGTGCTCTGGCTCTGGGAGAGTAGGATGCAGTGCCACATGTGGTGTCCACATTCCCCAAGGCTGGGTAGAAGTGTGGCAGGAGCAGCAGGCACTGAGGTCCGGGGGAGCACCACCAGCCATGGGTGAGAGTCTAGGCCTGGAGTTAGGTAGTTCTTGTCCTAAAGCCCAGCAACACAGTGTGAAGTCTCTCCAACACCAGGAGGAGTCTCTCCTACAGTCTTTCCTCTTTCACCCATAAAATGAGGGGTGATCACCCTAATCCAGGAACAACTGGAATTGTACTCATGAAGTACTTGAGTGTGGGCCTGGTGCATAGTGGGTGTCAGAGAGGCTGAGCCGATTTTAGGACCTCGTGGTCTCTGACTTGTTCCAACCAGGCACCACCAGGCCACTCCACAGACATAGTTAGGTGAGTCTCCTAGAAAGGGGAGACAGGGAGGCTCTGAGGATGGGTGTGGGGAGCACCTGGGAGCTGCCATCCTGTAATTGGTGAGCAGAGAGGCAAGTTAGTCACTCAGAAAAATGCTGTTTTCTCTCTAATTTTCTTAACTTGAAAAAGAAACCAACGAAGCAGATTTTCATAAGCACATCAAGGCAGGTTGCATACTTAACATAAAGAACACTAATATAATTATTTTGTTAGTTTGGGTAAACAAATGAAAGAAGATGGATGGATGGGTGGGTGGGTGTGTGGGTAGGTGGGTACATGATGGATGGATGATGGATAGATGTATGCATGGGTGGATGGATAGATGGTAGATGAAAAACATGGTTCATTTATCTTTTTATAACAGGTTTATTTTGATATAATTCACATCCCATACAATTTACCTATTTAAAGTGTTTAATTCAGTGGATTTTAGTATATTCACCAGGCTTTATAACTATCACCACAGTCAATCTTAGAATACTTTCATCACTCCAAGACAAAACCCATACTCGTTAACAGTCTCTCCCCATCCCGCACTCCCGACCCTAAGCACCAACCAGTCTACTTTTGTCTCCATGGATTCACCAATCTCATTTACTCTTCAGCGTGTATATAATGCAGTGCCTCCTGCATGCTGTCGGGGGCAGCCCTGTACAGCGGGGTGGGCATGCAGGCCTCCCTGGCCCTCAGGAGCCTGTGGTTCAGGGCCATCCTCTCACTGCATATGGGTGCCAGAGCAGGCGGGGACCTCTGAGATCACTGTACTACCTGTCTCCTCTCCTGGGAAACAGACCCTGAGTGATGGCTCAGTCGGGGCCCTGTCAGGGGCAGGTTGGCTGGGGTCGCAGGCCTCCCGATTCCCATAAGAATGGAACGGCCTTGGGTGTGGGCATTCCACGGGAAACACGTTTGGCCTGACTCAGTCCTCCCTGTGAGGGACTCACCAGCCTCACCAGCTTCAGTGGGGATAAGAAGGCAGGAAGAGTCACCATGCAAGAGAGACCCTCAGGATCCCACGACTGGTCCCACAAGACTCAGCTGAGGCATGGGGAGAGCTGGTGTTTCCACTGGGGTGGAGCGGGGGAAGGATGGGCTGCTTGGGACAAGGAGCAAGGCAGAGGGAGGGGAAGCCTTGGCAGGGGCTCCAAGGGGAGGGTGTTACAGTGCAGGGAGGCCTGATGGGCAGTGCCAGGCAAGATTCAGCACCGAAGTGGAGGCCTGTGCGTCTACTCTAGAACCACCCTCTTCTGTGGGCATGGCACTGAGATCAGAGTCAACTCTGGGAGACAGGATCAGACGCCTGACTCAAGAAGGTGCCCTGGTGGGGAGGGTTAGAGGGAGCCGGGGGCAGGCTGGGAGCCCCATGGTGGCCACAGGAGGCAGGGTGGAAGCGTCTTGTATGGTCACAGGGTGCAAGGAGGACCACCTTTGAGGGAGTTCTTCTGAAACCTGACCACGATTCACAACACTGGGATGGGCACCATGTGTCACTCAAGTGTGGGCCTGCTCCACTTGAGTGAGAGGAAGAGAATTCAGTGATGGGACTATTTGCAAAGATGTGGTCAGGGTGTAGGGAAACCACAGGCTGGACCCAGGGCAGTCAGAGCTCCCAGGGAAGGTTCCCACTGCAGGCCTCAAGGGCAGGGGGGCACCTGGCGGGATGCATGACCTTTGGCACGGGCGCAGCCAGTCCACAGTGACCAGGCAGGGATGGAGCCAGTGCACTCTCCTCCCTCACTCCCATCTCCTGCCCGTGCTCCCCATTGGCTGAACCCAGAGGAAGGAGGAGGGCAAGGAGCCTGCGGATAGAGTCCTCCGGGTCAGACTCTAGGACAGGTAGGTGCAGACGGACCGCAGGCGCCAATGGAAGATACCCGGCGTGCACTGGTTCCTGGAAAGAAGACCTGGCCTCTACACTTTGCCAAAGCCACATCAGGTACTGGCCGACAGCCCCTTTAGGCTGGCTGTGCCACTGAACTCGGTCTTTGTCTGGCTCCAGTGGCTCTCCAGAACCTGAAGATGGTCCTTAGGACACGTCTGGGAAGACCTGTTGACCCAACCATCAGCTGGCTGTTGGGCTTAGGTCTTTTAGCTAAGAATGCCTACTCAGGAAAGAAAAGAATGCCTCCTCAGAGCCTGAGAAGAAGAAACTTAGGATGAGCTAGGAAGTCCTAGGGTGGTCTTGGTGCAGCATGTACAGGATTAGGGCTTCAAAATTATTTCCTAGGGCACATTGTCAGCTCCTTGCTCTTCTATAGGGGGGTTGAGGCTTGGCACACTAGCTCCTCCAGCCAAGAGACCCTTCCCAGGTGAGCCACTTTCTTTCATCCTGGTTGGCAAGGAATTTTTGTGTTGTCCCTCTAAATGTTATTAAATGCAGTATTTGTCCTGTCATGGGCTTCCGCATCCAATAACCCCACCTAGCTCTACCCCTGCCCCAAACGTAAAGGAGGTTACCAGATATGACAGTGGAAGAAGGAATACCCAGCCTCCGAGCCACCCAGGTAGAATTTTGGTCCCATGTGCACCCAGTGTGTCATGAGGTCGCCTAAATGGAACACACTGACATATTTTTTCACAGACACATAACAACAAACGCTAACTTTTTCCTGTAACCCTAGGAAAACAAGGAACCTTCTAGACTTTGCCTGTTTGCCCTCTGGACATTTAGGCATGTCATGCAGACCGAGTGCCTCAAACTCTTGCAAAATTGACCAGTCAAATACTGGTGGGTTAATTATTTATGGAGGCTTGATAGAGAATCTACACGCACCCACACCTGTTGCCATAGAGTCGATTCTGACTCATAGTGACCCTACAGACTTGCATAAATAGATGAGCCATTCCCTTGGGATGATGTCCTCAAACTCTTAATCTTTAACTGTTTGAATGCTTTTATTCCAGTGTTATGTTGCCTTTGAACTCAGTAGATAACATGATGGTGATTGTAATTTTGATGTTTATGCTATTTAGTTTGGATACAGCTACAACGACTTATTTCTTGACCCACAAATGTGTAATCCACGTGTGATTCCCATTTGTGCAATGGCCATTGTTGGTACTTACAGAAGATGCCAAGTGTGTGCAGGAGACACATTGTTCCTAGGCATGGAAACTGAGGCAGAGGCCTGAGTCTGTCGTCATCCCCGAGCCTCAGTTTTTCCACACCCATGGCAATAAGTTTGCATGTAACACATGCTT